GGGGGTGGGGGTGGGGCATGGAGTGGAGACCAAAAGCCCATCTGTAGACAATTGGACATCCCCTCACAGAAGGGTCACAGGGAAGAGATGAGCCAGGGTGCAGTATAGCACTAATGAAACACACAACTTTCCTCTAGTTCTTTTGTGCTTCCTTCACCCCACTATCATGACCTCAATTCTACCTTATAAATCGGATGAGACCAAAACATGCACACCGCTACAGATAAGAGCCCACAACACAGGGAATCCAAGAAAGATAAACCCCTCAGAGCCAACAAAGAGTGTAGAGATAGATACCAGGAGGATTAGGGAAGGTGGGAGGATAAAGGGGGAGCTGATCACAAGGCTCAACCTAGAACCCCCTCCCAGGTGGATGAATCACAGAAAAGTGGGTGAGAGGCAGAGGCCGATGTAAGATATGGAAAAAATAATCTATAACTCATCAAGCATTCATGATGGAGGGCGGGTGGGGGAGGGAGGGGGAAGAAATAGGGAGTGGATATCAGGGGCTCAAGTGGGAAGAGAATGCTTTGAAAAATGATGGTGGCATATGTGCAAATGTGCTTGACACACTGGAGGAAAATGTGGATTGCCATAAGAGATACAAGAGCCCCCAGTAAAAGTATTTTAAGAAAATAAAAAGACAAATCTGTCTTAGAGGAAGTAAACCAGAGTACTGCTTAGAAGGGAGCATGGTGAGATTTCACCTCACTTAGTTTGGACACGTTATCAGGAAGGACCAGTGCCTGGGGAAGGCCAGCTTGCCTGGTACAGTGTCCATGAAAAATGAGCACACTCTCACGCTGTCTTGGCCACTGATTGCCGCAATGGGCTCAAATATCCCTGCTATTGCAAAGATAGCACAGGACAGGACAACATTTTCTATTATTATACATAAGATTGCTGTGAGTCAGAGCTGTCTCAATGGCACACAACAACAACGTGATAATTACATGCTTGTTTTTTTTAAACTGCCAATTTCCCACAGTGGTTGTATCATTTGTATTTCCATCAGATCCTTTCTCCACTTCTTGACCTCTATGCCTTGAATTTAACTGACCCAGTAGAGCCCCTTGAAAGTCATTCTGTGAATAGGGTCCTTCCTTCCTTCCTTCCTTCCCTCCTTCCTTCCCTCCTTCCCTCCTTCCTTCCTTCCTTCCTTGAGTGCTGGTGGCATAGTGGTTACAAATTGTGTTGCTAATTGCAAGGCAAGCAGTTGAAACCACCAATGATTCCTTGGGAGAAAGACGGCATTATACTCCTAGAAAGCATTACAGGCTTGGAAATTAACAGGGGGAAGTTTTACCCTGTCCTTCGAGTCAGCATTGGCTCCGTGGCAGTGAGTTAAATAGCTCCCTTAGCATAGTGATTATGCATTGGACTGCTAACCATAAGGTAAGCAGTTCGAAACCAACAGCGGCTCTGTGGAGAAACATGAACCTTTCCATTCTTATGAGTTACAGTATCAATTGTCATTATGAAGAGATCACTGAAGATATGAGTGCTATAGCAGAGTGTGATAAAAAACAACAACAAAAACTAGATGATCCCTGGCTATCAGAAAGTATAGTGTCTGGGGTCTTAGAAGCTGTCTTCAAACAAGCAGCTATCTAAGTGAGGCTTCAACTACAACCATACAGACGAAACACACTAGCCTGTGGTTTAAGGGCTCTAAATATAATTCAAATCTGAAGGAGGCAATGGTACCAGATCTTAAATTTTAAACAGCTGGTTGGCAGACGCTGTAGATGACGGTGGAAGCCTAAACTCCATTTGCAGAGTCCACACCTAGATTCAGCTTCAGGGGAATCCCTTCTGACCACAGTCAAAGGATGTGATTAGCCTTTTTATCAGACAGAGATTATTGTAAAGTTGGTTATGCATATCTAGTTCAGTTAAAATGTAATATCCTTTTAATCTCCCTTTTGACCCATTTAAAAGTTATTTCTGTTTGTTTTTGTTTGTTTGTTTTAAGTGAAGGGGAAATACACATGGATTAAGCCTCCACTGAATTCCCTCTGACCATAGACCAGGGATGTGAATAGCTTTATCATGCAAAAGCATTGGAAAAATGAATTATTTCAGACCTAGTTAGGTTAAAATTTAATATCTTATCATTTGATCTCCCTTTAGATCCATCTTAAATTTTTTCTAGTGTTAAATATTTTTGGCTTTCCTTTCTACTGAGTGTTCTCTGTTATACTTTGTTATTGTTTGTGTTTTTGAGGTGGGGGTCGTATGTTTTTCTGTAGATGAAATTCAAGAGTTAAATCTATATATAGAGAGAAACTGGGTTAATGATTTCTTGAGGGTATGGCAGCGGAGGTTGGGGGGATATAGGGAGCTAATAACAAGGAGTACAAGAGGAAAATGTTCTAAAATTGATTGTGGTAATGATTGTAGTACAATTCTTCTTGACATGATTGAACTATTGAATTATTTGTTTTTTTTAAAAAAATTTGGGTTTTTTTTAAGTTACAGTCTCAGAAACCCACAGCATCAACTCATGGCAGTTGAGCTTGGAGTTTTGGAAATAGCCCCCATGGTGCTGTCAGATAAATGTTGGGTTACTAACTACAAGGACACCAGTTCAAATCCACTAGCCACTGTGTGTGAGAAAGATAAGGCTGTCAGCTCCCATAAAGATCTGTAGCCTCTGAAGCCCCATACAGGGTCACTAGGCGTTGGAATGGGCCTGATTGCAGGGGTTGGGTGATCTGGGTTGGGGAACAAGACTAAGATAAGTGTATTCCTGAGAGTTGTGTGCAGCTACCCACCAATCATAGAGATGTGCCTAAACATGTCTGCTTTGAAATAAACCCACGCAAGTCTGAATTGGAATCCTAGTAGTGATATTTTACTTACATTTCTATTTAATTCATTGATCAGAATACTCTTTTTTTAATCAGAATACTCTTAAGGAAGAAGAAAACAGAATTTTCTATTCCTTGTGAGTTGGAATTGACTTGAAGGCAGTCAGTTTAGGGTTTTGCTTTCAAAGAAGAGTATCTGGTTAGAGGAAATGGGGTCAGGCAGAGGAGAAACTGAAAACAGGTTTGTAAGAAGAATAGATGAATCTAAAAGAGAATCACGATAGAACATAGTAAGAGACCGGTTTGGAACTTTGCTTTTTCAAAAAGGAGGAAGGAAATGCTATATTTTACTGGAAATAACACCATATTGGTAGGAAAATAATATAGAAAGTATTCAGAAAAATGGTAGGATTGTGGACTTCAGGATGAGTGGAAATGGTTTCAGGAGCCCTGGTGATGCTATGGGTAAGGTATTTTACTGCTAACCTCAAAATTGATGGTTCAAAACTAACAGACACTGAAGGAAAAAGAGGAGGCTGTTTGGTTCCATTAAGATTCACAAACTCAGAAACCCTCTAAAGGGTTTCTTGATGGGGTTTTACAGAAAAGTGGGTAAAGGGAGACAGCGCTCCATGTAAGACATGAAAAAATATATATAAACTATCAGTGGTTCATGAGGGAGGGAGGGGGGAAATGAGAAGCCGATACGACGGGCTCAAGTAAAAAGAAAATGCTTTGAAAATGATGATGGCAACAAATGTACAAATGTGTTTGACACAACGGATGGATGGATTGTTATAAAAGCTGTAAGTGCCCCCAATAAACTGATTAAAACGTTAATTTCAGAAACCCACGGGGGCCTTTCTGCCCTGTCCTGCACGGCTGCTTTCAGTCCACTGGATAGCAGTGAGTTAGCTGAATATTCGTTACAGTTTGGGTCACATCTCAGCTGATGTTAAAAGGATGCTGCCACCAGTACTGACCCTACTTCAATGAACACAACAGAGGAGGACTGACGTTTATCAACACTTAACTGACAGGAAAACCTAGCCTATTCCTTCATGAACCAGCCAGGACATGAACCAATAATCTCTCACATGGACTAGGTTGCGTTTTCCCCCCACCCCAATAGCTTTGCCTCAGTACTAGTTTCGGTTACTTTCCTTAGTATTTCCCACTTTTCGCTTATCCAAACTTTCTAATCCAAGAGTTTAGGCGGCTAGGTTTTGTGGAACTTTCACGAGTAGCCCGACCGAGAGCAGCCTGCGGCAGGGGCCACCTCCACAGCACGAGCCCCTGTGACTCAAGACACTCACCGCTCAGTGACGACAGCTCTGAGGCGCGCCGGGACGGCAGATAGTCGCGTCGGCGCAGTAGCGAGGGGGCGGGGCGGGGCGGGGCGAGGGGTGGGTCCGGGCTCAGCTGGGCGGGATCACGCAGAGCGTGCTTGGAGAGGCGGGCCTTTCTGGAGGTTCCGGCCTTTCCAGCTTTTTCATTCTTCACTTCCTGTTTGCCTGAACTTCTGTTTCCGGGTCAAGGGTGTTCGCTTTCCTGTCTTCTCCCCAGCTGCTCCTGATGGCACCCGCGGTGACAGCGACTCCAGCTTGAGCCCAGGACCGGATTTTACTGCCGACTCGCTAGGTCCCGGACGCCCGCACCTACCCCGAGACGTGGAGGCTAGCCTCCTCCACTTTGGGACTTGCAGCCGCCCGGCACCCGCCGCCTCCGGTGGCCCCGCGCCCAGGTTGACAGGGACTGCGGGCCCCGAGAGGCGCCGAGTGTGAGTCTCTGGCTCCTTAGGCCCTCGAGGGGCACCGCTGGTACTTTGGCGCCCCACGTTCTCCAGCTCACGCCCGGGCTTGGATGGAGCCCCCTGCCCAATGAATGTGGCTGCTGAGACAGCAGTGGCGGTGGCCAGTCCCGCTGCTGCTGCTGCTGCGCTCCAAGTTCGCCTCCGTCCCCGGGCTCTCCTGCCGCTCGGCTGGGCTGCCGCCGCCCTCTCCGCACTCCCCTGACCCTGGCCGCGCCGCGCCGCGCCGCGACCATGGACAAGATCCTGGAGGGCCTGGTGAGTTCTTCGCACCCGCTGCCCCTCAAGCGGGTGATTATCCGGAAGGTGGTGGAGTCGGCGGAGCACGGGCTGGACGAGGCGCAGTGCGAAGCCATGTTTGACCTGACCACCCGGCTCATCCTGGAGGGCCAGGACCCTTTCCAGCGGCAGGTGGGCCACCAGGTGCTGGAGGCTTACGCGCGCTACCACCGGCCCGAGTTCGAGGCCTTTTTCAACAAGACCTTTGTGTTAGGTCTCCTGCAGCAGGGTTACCACTCGCTGGACAGGCAGGATGTGGCTATCCTGGACTACATCCACAACGGGCTGAAGCTGATCATTAGCTGCCCGTCGGTGCTGGATCTCTTCAGCCTGCTGCAAGTCGAGGTGCTGCGGATGGTGTGTGAGAGGCCGGCGCCGCAGCTCTGCGCCCGCCTGAGTGACCTCCTGAGTGACTTCGTGCAGTGCATCCCCAAGGGGAAGTTGTCCATCACCTTCTGCCAGCAGCTGGTGCGGACCATCGGCCACTTCCAATGTGCGTCCACCCAGGAGAAGGAGCTGCGGGAATACGTCTCCCAGGTGATGAAAGTCAGTAACTTGCTGCAGAACATCTGGAAGACCGAGCCCGCCACGCTGCTACCTTCCCTGCAGGAAGTTTTTGCGAGCATCTCGTCCACAGGTGAAGCCCCGGTGCCCTCCTCTGGGAAATCCAGCCTATGCCCTGCCCGCACTCAACTCCCCCATGCCAGGGTCTCCTTTTCTGCCGTGAAGACAGACATGCACAAGGGATTTACTCCAACTCTTGAGGTCGTGACTTCCCAACTTTACAAGTGAAACAGGTGCTGGGTTCCCACTTTAGAGATTGTGATAAAGAGTACCAGTTTGGGAAACCCCCAGAGGCCTCTCTACTCTGCCTTCTAGGGTCGCTTTGAGTCGGAGTGGACTCGGTGGCAGTATTTGGCTTTTGGGGTTTTGTGGCCTAACTTAAGACCTTTGGCACCAAACAAGTTGCTTAATTACCCGGCCTCTGCGAACGTTATGGAATGATTTGATGATGACACATGCCATATAAGCGCCTATTTAGTAGTGACTAACGATAGCGTAACTCTGTTTCCCATGCTTTTATTATCTGTGACTATCATTTTGTTATAATGAGGTGTTTTTTTCCCCTCCCTCCACCCCCACCTTTTTTTTTTTAATCCACACACTGTGCAGGTTTTTTTATGATTGGGTTATCCCAGGTGACTGCAGCACATTGCCATTTCCTGTCTACAATAGAAAGGGGGTATGAGTAAAATGAGAAGGTCTTAAACAGGAGTTTTCATTGGCCAGGAATTGCCTCCATGAATTGGATCCTCTGGTGGGGAGGGGAGGGCAAGGGCTCCTTGGCAAGAAAAGACCTTCTCACCCAGAAATGTCTGTGAGTGCCTTGTTCTGCCTTGAAACTTCCAAGTCCGCAAGTTGTGGGGTATGGTCAAAGCCAAGGCCACCTCTTCCTCAACCATGGCACACCCAGTCTCCCTGATTAACCAACCCCCAAATGGGACTTATGTTTAACTTGAGAACCTTAACAAGCTCCATGCTTTCTGATTACTTAAATACACGTATGATTTCTGTAATTTTACGTTTTATATAAACTAGAATCTGCCCTGAGGCATAGTATAATAACTGCATCCTAAGTAATTAATGAAGCCCAATGACACTGCCGGGTGTTAGACTGCAATCGAAAAGACAGATTACACACTAGATAGCACCTCTTCGGGAGAAAGATGAGGCTGTCTGCTCTTGTAAAGATTTACGGGAGCTCATAGGATCACTATGCATCAGAACTCTGTGGCAGGGAGCTTGTAAGTTACTTTGCTACAATTTTTATTTTAGAAAGTGTTTTCTCTCAATTCTTCAAGTGAACCTTGTTGCCAATTTTTTTTCTTTCCTCGTTTGAAAAAAACAGATGCGTCATTCGAACCTTCTGTAGCACTGGCAAGCCTTGTGCAGCACATTCCTCTCCAGATGACTGCCGTGCTCATCAAGAGCCTTACTACGGATCCAAATGTCAAAGATGCAAGTATGACCCAAGCTCTCTGCAGGTATTTCTTCATGGCAATGTGGCTCGTAATTGTGGAGTTGGGAGGAGGGGATGTTTTCAGTTTATCTATCTATCTATTTCTATTTTAAATCATTTTATTGGGGGCTCTTACAGCTCTTATAACATTCCATACATCAATTGTATCAAGCGTATTTGTACATATGTTGCCATCATTATTTTCTAAACATTTACTTTCTCTTTGAGCTGTTGATAACTGCTTCTCTTTTTTCCCTCCCTCAGTTTATTTTTTATGGGTAATGAGACACAAAATTTTTTAACTGAAGTTATGAAATCAAACACAAGGATTCTCCAAATGAATTTTTTGCCCTATTTCCCTGATAAAACGTCTGAGTGGTTCACAAATCTAATTTCGATTTAAATTTTTTGAAAATTCTTCAAAACACTACATACATATACATTTATTCTACAGTCAGGTGTCACTTGATTTATTAACATACTTTCTTAACTTCTTGGCTAATTCTTGATTCCTGAAACTTATTTCTTCCTTTCTTCTTTTTTACAACCAGGCTATTTGGGTAATGTCCTCTGAGCCTTTGCTTCCTAGAAATCTCTCCTTTTCTCCTGAAGTCTGAAGTAGATAATTTGGCAATATGCGGGACTCATCTGATCTTTTTCTTTTAGCAATTGAAAACAGTATTCCTTTTTCTTTTGACATGTACCCTTACTCATGTGAAGTTTGTCAATCTGATTTTCATTCTGTTGTGAGTGGTCTTAGAGTAGTTGTTTTCCTAATAGCGTTTTTGTCTTTGATGTGTTGTAGTTTTACTCTCACATTTCTAGGTATAAATGTATTATCCTCAACCCATTTCTGTTTTCAATCATTCATGCACTCATTGATTTATTCAAATCAGATTTAGCGAGTACTTAATGTGAGGGCAAGGCATTGTTGAAAATATCCTTGAACAAAACAAATAAAATATGTGCCCTGATGGGCTTACTTTCTAGTTAGGGGATAGAGGACAAAGTCGGTTGGTTTTAAGATACATCCTGATTTCAGAGGTATTGAAAATATGGAAAGGCAAGCTTTGATGGCCTAGTTTAATTGGCAGGACTTGCCCTTCCTTAGTGGTAGTTTATGGAAACTAATTATACATCTTAAATTTTCTTCTGTTTTAGATTAATAGAATAAGTAATATATTATGTTGAAAGGACAGAGGCTCACTGGTACAGATAGAAACTGGAAACACAGGGAATCCAGGGCAGATGATCCCTTCAGGACCAGTGGTGTGAGTGGCGATACTGGGAAGGTAGAGGAAGGGTTGGTTGGAAAGGGGGAACCAATTACAAGGATCTACTTGTGACCTCCTCCCTGGGTGACGGACAATAGAAAAGTGGGTGGAGGGAGACATCGGACAGGCAAGATATGACAAAATAATAATTTATAAATTATCAAGGGCTCATGAGGGAGGGGGGAGCGGGGAGGGAGGGGAAAAATGAGGACCTGATGCCAGGGGCTTAAGTGAAGAGCAAATATTTTGAGAATGATGAGGGGAATCAATGTACAAATGTGCTTTACACAATTGATATATGTATGGATTGTGATAAGAGTTGTATGAGCCCCTAATAAAATGATTTTTTTTAAAAAAGCAAGAAAGGATAGAGACTGCTAGAATAGGTTGCAATTTTAAAATTTTGAAAAGTTGCCTATGAAGACTGAAGATTTTGAAGAAAGAAACCTCATGGTTATCAGAAGTGAAGCCCATCAATAATAATTTACAATTTACCAATTTTCTCTCCAGAAATGGCCATTCATAGAGCTTATCCTGTTGAATTTCTTTATTTTTTCTACTTGAGACTTTCCTTTCTACCTGCTCTTCTCTTTCCTGTTATCTGCCTGGTTGTGTTTTATAATTTTGGGGGTCAATTCTTGTTTCTCCACCCCTCTCCCCCTCAGCCCCCCAAAATGGTATGTATTTGTATCACAATTTAAGAAGCCCTGGTGCTTCTTAAAGTGGTTACTCATTCGCTGCTAACCTCAAGGTCAGCAGTTCAAAACCAGCAGCAGCTCCACAGAATAAAGACAAGACTTTCTACTGTACAGTTACCGTCCCAGAATCTCAGAAACCCACAGGGGCAGTTCTGCCCTGTCCTGTTAGATCTCTGTGGTGGCATAGTGGATAACAAGCTGGGCTGCTAACTGCTAAGCCGGCAGTTCAAACCCATCAGCTGCACCATGGATGAAAGATGAGGCTTTCTGTTCTCATAAAGATTTACAGCCTTGGAAACCCAAATGGGTATTTCTACTCTGCCCTGTTGGGTCACTATGAGTCAGAATGACACAATAGTAGTGAGTGTATGAGTATATACCACCTTTGAATAATATCTAACGATTTGGAACAAAGTATCCATGCAACTATTACAAAATTATAACCTAAGTATTTATCTCAGAAAGCTCCACGTATATTCATTTCACGCTATTATATTAGTTCTAGGAACTTTGATCTTCACTTTGCTCCTTCCTTTTTAGCTTCATTGTTTAAAGTGCCCTTGCTCTAATAGCTTTTCTTTCTTCTCCCTTTTGATGCTAAACATAACTGAAACAACTTGCCTGTAACTTGTACTCTATTTTGTTTCTTTTTTGGTTACAGCTTAATTGGCCCTTCTACATATCATACAATTCAACAGCTCAATTTTATCAAGCAGAGTTGTACAATCATTACCACAATCAATTTTAGAACATTTTCTTCTTTCTCATTATTAGTGTAATTATTTTTTAAATTGTGACAAAAATAAACAACAAAACATTCTCCAATTCAACAATTTCTACTTGTAGAATTCAGTACCATTGATTATACTATTGTGCAACCATTATTGATAACCTTTTCCAGATGATTCCACCATCATTAACAAACTCAATGCCCCGTGAGTAAAAGCTCTTCCTCCTTCACTCATAGTAACCATTGGTCAACTTTAGTTTCTGGGTTTTTGTTTAATTAGTTTTCTTGAGATAAAGTTCATATGTACTTCCATTATTAAGTCGCCTTTAAAAAGAATTGTATATATATCATCACAATCGGTTCTAGTGTTCCCTACCTTCAGTATTTGCTACCCAGTTCCCCTCACCTTCCCCACCCTCCATCCTTGATAAACCATTGCATTGGGTACTGTCTATGTGCACCCACTCCTCTGTGCTTCATAAACTGGGAAACCTAACATAAACAATACAAAAACAGAAGAAAAGAATAATATAAAGATAAAAATAAAGAGTACTAAAGAAAATACCACCGATGATATTTAAAAACCCAGAGAAGAAATTCCTGTCAAGGAACAAGCAAGAAATTTAAGCTTAGAGCAAATGCAGGTTGGGTAAAGACAGAGGTCAACTGACCAAGTATCATATTATACCGTGATTCAATCCACTATAATCAAGTTGTAGCTCTAATTTCTTTTTTTGTTTTGTTTTGGGTTTTTTTAATCATTTTATTAGGGGCTCATACAACTCTTATCACAATCCATACATACATCAATTGTGTAAAGCACATTTGTACATTCATTGTCCTCATCATTCTCAAAACATCCACTCTCCACCCAAGCCCCTGGCATCAGCTTCTCATTTTCCCCATCCCTCCCCGCTCCCCCACCTCTGTCATGAACCCTTGATAATTTAAAAATTATTATTTTGTCATATCTTGCACTGTCCAACATCTCCCTTCACCCACTTTTCTGTTGTCCGTCCTGCAGGGAGGAGGTTATATGTAGATCCTTATAATTGGTTCCCCCTTTCTACCCCACCTTCCCTCCATAATTTCTTAGTGCTCATTCTCTCCTTAAATTCCAAAAATGTATACAGGTGTTTTTTATATAAGGGTGTGGAACCCTTATCTGACCTCTTCTGGCTACCCAAAGGAGAAAGAATCCCAGTCCACACAAACCCAAGGCCAATTGCCACAAGGCATAGGTCAGACATGCGTGTACCCTCCATCCTTCTCTTACAGCATCTTACATCAACTGTTCCTCTCACAGCACCCTCAGTGGGTTTGATAATTCACTGCAATGGCCACACAGAACTCATAGACACTACTTACAATTAAGGACTTTTATTGGGGGAGTTAACACATTACTATAAGCTAGGATCGGACAACATTAAGGATATAGTCATTAGTCCACAGCAACACCTCTCTTCAGCCAGCAGCCAAGTTTCTCTTTAGCCCTTAACCTCTCAACCATGTGATCCCTTGGCTTCTACCTTTGTGGGCCTGGAAGCAGCCAGCTGCTCTGCCTCACAGTCTTGGTGGCTCCTCTGTTCTGTATCATGGTCTCCATGCTCCAGTCTCTGGTCTCCCTGTAGCATGGCCTCTGCCACTTCAAACAGGCATTTCACATATGCTCTGCTGATGGCTCTTCTGCCTTGATGGTCCTGGGAATTTTCTCTCTTCCTATTTCTGAGATCCTTATAGCTGGGGTAGTGGAAACTTTTAGTGTGACACACACCCAATTTGCATAACCAAAAATCAAACTCACTGAGTTGGTTTCAATTCGAAGGGAACTTTATGACAAAGTAGAACTGCTCCTATGGGCTTCTGAGTCTCTAAATCTTTACAGAAGTAGGCAGCCTTACCTTTCTCCTGCAGAGTGGCTGGTGGTTTCGAACAGCTGACCTTACGGTTTGTAGCTCAATGCCTAAGCACTATGCCACCAGGGCTCCTTCTCACTGCCATCACATCAATTCTGACTCTTAGCAACCCTATAGGATAGGGTAGAACTGCCATTATGGGTTTTCAAGACTAACTTTATGGTAGTAGAGAGCCTCATCTTTCTTCTACCACCTGGCTGGTGGTTTCAAACTGCTGACCTTAAGATTAGCAGCCCAGCACATAATCACTATGCCATCAGGGCTCCATAGATGTGTGGAGGGTGGGGACAAGATAACACTCACTGCCATCAAGTTGCTTCTGATGCTTACTGAGCCTATAGGACAGTTTGTTCCACCCAGTCATTGGGTGGGAGTTACAGAAACATGGATAAAAGAACAATATTAAG